TGGCACAATTTTCGTTTAAAGGATATTTTTCAATCATCCTGTGATCAGGTGGCAGGATTCGTTAAATGTCATCACGTCCACCTATAGCTGTTTTGAGTGAGTTGATAAATGAAGACGATTAATTCACACCGAAGATTTTCTTTTAATCCTGAAAAGTTTTCGATGCGATGTATTCGCCGCCACGTCTCCGCGCCGGCCAACAGTCGAAATCGATAACCGTCTACGCGAAACGTTTAAAATGACATCCATCGCGATTCACATCACACCTACGCACATCAAGACTATACGTAAGAGTCATCCGGTAAATTTTAGCTTTATTATTATAAATAATATTTGACACAATTATACTGGACGACGTCTTCGTTGAAAATATATTGTATAAGTCTCGAAAAATAATCACAAGTAAATCAATCCGTGACGAACAGTACACAATTTCGGGGCGGGAGCAGGAGTCGCAAAAAATATTTATTGCGTTTATTAACCTAACCTTTGCATCGCTGTAAACCAATCGATAGGTATACATATTATTCAATATTTGATTTCAAATTAGAAAGTCATTTTTATTTCAGAAAGGGCTAAACGCCCAAATCCCCCTTGCAGTCGTCGCTGTCAATAACCTCAATGAACATTGAAACGATATGCAGCTGCATTGTAACATTTTTCCGAGATGTTTTTTCTTTTTTTTTTTATGTGCGGTAAATTATTATTATCTTAATAAAATAATAATATTATATAGATAAGCCGTAAAGGTACGTATCTATACCTACCGGCCAACCAAAGTCAAGCATTTTGTACGTTAAACTTTTCGTAAAAAAAAAAGGATTGTGACGGATAAAACTTTTGGAGTGGTAAAAAAAAACAGCATTATCGAAAAATCCATTTTTCGCACACGTTGTCAAAAATTATTATATTGCGCGTGTTCACGCGAAGTACGTTAATCCTCTCGTCACTACTCTCTCTCTCTTTCTGTATATATATTATTATTGTTATATTGTATACAGGACGATTATTTTATCACGAACCATCGACTATACGAAAATAGATTTCGGTTTTGTTCAGTCGTTTTATTTTATTGAATCGTTTAGCGATAAAACAATGTTTATTAAATATAATTGAATTAAAATGTTTGTTCTTTTTTCGATGCTTCTTAGTGTATTGCGTACATGCCAGCATTTTTCAACAAAATATTATCTTTTTGAAGAAGAATTCACGAAATATCGGTTGTTATTAGAAAATCAATCGTTTTTCAATAAAATAAAGTGCGTATTTAATGCTTATCGATTCTATATGCGTTATATAAATACGGAATACCCAAGAGTGAAATTTTGGATATGTTGTAAATGATCTTTTAATGACCGAAAAACAACCGAAATCAAATAATATATACAAAATATTTGTTTAGCAAAAATATCGCGAAAGAAATAATACGATATTAAATTCGAGGGACTATTTTATGAAAAAAAAGACTGAAATAGTTTTTATTTCTTGAAATGCAAAAAAAGGGTTTCTTTTCATGAAAATATCGACTATGATGTCATGTATAATATAATAATACTCACAAAAAAAAAAAAAAAAAAATAATAAATAAATATCATTGTAATACCAATACATTCCTCGCTCCGCTCAGAATCTAAATAGTCGATCATGCATGCATAGTACGTTACAGTTTTTAGAATATAGATCGGCTATTTTTAAAGTGTTTGAAAGAGAAAAAATAAAAAAAAATAATAATTTTTTATTTTATACAATTATTGTTTTTTTTCCATCGATTAAGGGATGAATATAAATATTAAATTTTTCTCTACATATGTACACGTCCTTCTGAATCCTTCCGATCGGAATAAAAAAAAAAAAAAAAAAAAAATGTAAATATACCGAAATATTAGCACAATCCCACGGAACATTGTAGGGCACTCTGTATTCCAGTGGCGTATTTATGGGGAGGGATATGAGGGATAGATCCCTTCCCTTGCCTTTTTTTTAAATGTATAAACACACACACACAATAGATCACTCATTCTGTAATCTATTATGCGATACACTAAGTATATTAATACATGTAAGTTTTTAACAGTTAAATATATACACCGACATTAAGTCACTTTGTTATTTTGTGTGTATCATTACACCATAATAACGACAAAATCAAAATAGGATTTTCAGAAAAAAAAAATATTAACTTATACTGTTTATAAATATTGTGTGTGATGATTTGTGATTATAGACTAGACTAAATGTTTTAGGTTTGCTGTCTTGTTACGGTAAAGTTGAGGTCAAGACAGACGATGTTTTCAATCAGTTATGTATGAAAACAGAAAACTTGACTTTATTTTTTAAATTAATGAAATAGAATATCAGAATATAAATACTATTATGTTCATTGTTACTGAATCTCTATACACGAGAGAAACTGAAGTCAAAAGCTTGCAAAAGCTAGACCCAATTTGATTTTACGACGAAAGATTATTTTTGGATGCGATAAAAACATTCAGAGTATTTAAACATTTTTGAGCGAAAATTATTAAGTTTTGGGATGTCATTTGGCCCCTTAATACTTAATACTTCGAAAGTCTATTATGGCTTTAGGAAAAAAATTAGGCTCTAAAAAATATTATTTCATATCCCCCTCTACAATAAAATCCTAAACACGCCTCTGTTCTGTACCGCGTACAAAACGTTCACGTGGTCAATTTCGCATGAAATAACTCGTTTTCGTATCAAAACCACATGATCGTAATAATCACTTACTGTAGTATCGGAAAAAAATATTAAATTGGTGTTCGTTCTAACGTTTCATTATTTATATCCCTGGCGTGTCCGCACAGTTCAACAAATCGAAGTGCGGTATTATTGTTATTATTATTATTATTATTATTATTATTATTATTATTAGCAGTTACGATACGCAGTCGTTGTGGTCGTAATATTAGTTCACCGACGGTACCGTTAGAAATTCTGTTAAAAAATCGGCTTTCTTTTTTTACACATGTATATATATATATATATATATACATGTATAAAAGAAAGTTATTTATAGTTGTGCATAAATAAAGTGCCAAAATTACGATTTGATTTTAATTTTTTTTTTCATTATTATTCTTGTGAATTCGCGTTTTTATACACGCATAAAGATATCAGTACGTTTTACTGTCGCGCATGGATTAATGATCTCGCGTGCTCGTCTTGAAACGTCCGCTTTTACTTTTCGAAAACAAACAAAACGACTTCTACGATATTTGCATACGCAGATATTACACGCTTAAACATATTTGTCGTCGTATATGTTCGTCCACGTGAAATATTGAGCGGATACCTATAGGTATACAGGTACATAATAATATATAGGTAGGTGGTATGCTACGTAAACTCGAATGAATATTATTCCTTTGACTCGGTTTTATTAATATTCTGTATCCATTTCGATTGTGGCGCGCTGCAGACAAGATTGCCGTGCCGTTGAATGCGTTTGACAAAACTGCGGCGTTCAAAAACGGTTAATATTTCACGACGACGGTGACGTTGAGGTTTCGACCCGTAACGGGTAGGTACACGTTAAACGAATCCTTCGATTAAAATCTAAACGGCACGCAGAACCGCGTTGTAGGGTTAGCACAAAAATGGAATCCAAATTTGAATAGATAAAGATACGTTAAAACGTCGCTGTTATCACGAGGTGTGTCGGTGCGGGGGAATTATAAAACAAGTCGCAAAACCGTGTTAGGACTCGAGAAATTATCGGACAAAGTCGAAATGTACCTTCACAGCCTATCCATAATGTTTTATTTTTGTTCCGGTGTCGCGACAAATATGCGTTGAACGTTTTCAGATTTTGAGCGTAACTTCCTCCGAACGTATTGGTTTTTACTGGACATAGGTATATTTGTATGCAGGCTAGTAGTCAAGATTTTTTTTGAGGGATCCAAACATAAAATGTGTCACCAACTACTAATAATCTGATTTGTTGGTGAGAAGCTTAAATATTTTAGGAGGGTGGGGGTCCATGGGGTCTGCAGCCATCTGGATACTTGTCTTTAATGTGTGTGAATATTCACAGTTTTTTTTACCAGAGATCTTGTTTCGATTATCAAATTCAAGGGTAGCAAATTTCGTCTATTTGGAGCATTGACGAGGTAATTTTTGGTTTATCTTCTAGTTATTTTTTTTACAGTTGGGAAATTCGAGAAAGACTATTGAAAAAACGGGAAAATTTACGCGATAGTGGTTTCTGTTTTTTTCGATTTTATTCTTTTGTTAAAAATAAATACGTATTAGTTTACTATCAGCTAGTAAACCTTGCTCGTAAATATTTGAAATTACATTTTATTGCTCGTGAATAGCTATCCCGCTAATCTCAAATCGTGCACAATATTTAACGGTCCAGTGGTTTCTGAAATTTGCCGTTAACAAGAATACTCATTTTATAAGAATACCATATATCTTATCATAACTTTTTTATTATACGATCCGTAACCAATATCAACCCTTTACATGAACAAACAATTAATATTTGTGCTTGAAATGAAGTCATTGATACATGAGCCACGCATCAGCAACATTTATTAATTGAAAAGTGAAACTAAAAACCTCCCCGAGTCTCAAGGCATATGCGTATTATGCTAAATTTGGTGCCAATTGATTATGTAGTTTTTAAATTTATATATCATGAACATTCATTAATTGTATGTATGTCCTATATAGTGAAATTTATCACGTATACAAGTTGACAATGGTTAATTAGAAATTACCTGGACCTATTTTCGACGAAGCAACGGGGAACTGACGAACATAGCAACCAAATATTTCGTCCGATATGATACTTGAAAATGCGCCTTATTAACTCTAATTTGTAATCAAAATTTAAAATCGAACGATTTTTATCTACTACAAACAAATTAGTGTTTGAATTATCTCATGTTTCACTCATTGGATTTCCTAGATTTAAAATTTGTTGTTTTCTAATTTCTATTTAACTTAATATTTATAGATTTGTAGGGCATTCTCGCACCCTCTCGGGTATTGCGCCTGGAGCGAAGACACCGCTCGCCAGAATGTGTACAAAACGATGGGACTAGCACCACTGACAAATTTCGTAAAGGGACGAAGGAGTACAAGGAGAAAACGAAACAGTGAATACAGCAATGCTGAACGGAAATCCTGAGGAAATAAGAATATCATGAGGAGAAGGACCCGGGACAATATGGATTTATTCGGAAGAAAAATTAAACCGTTTGAGAGTTGGTGATTACTGAGACGGGCAGGCGAAGAAATGTATAATATTATTATGGTTATGGCGTTGAAAACTCCCAAACACGTACTATACGTATTTGGTATGCTGTTTGAGAGGACAGGAAGATAAAAGGGAACGAGAAAATATTCGGTTATCTGTAATACGCACGAAACCGTACACGCGATTGTTTTGAACTCGTGGTATATTATAATATACGCGTGTGTCTCGATGTGATAATAATACAACAATATCTACCGTATAACATACTATGCCGTTTTCTAGCTATATCATGGCGATCATGGTTACCACGAATGCTATCTTCTGTATAGATTATTATTATTATTATTATTAAGTGTGCGAAGAACACGTATATATGAATATTACCCGACGAAACCTCGCCGCCGGGTGTAAACGTTACAATATTATAATGTACACATATAAGTATAAGTACATCATGTCGAGCGAGTATGTTTTCACGTCAAATTACCGAGTGAGTATTATCGCTTATTTGGCCTCTCGTATATTCACATTACTATTAGCTGTCGAGTTGATTACCTTCCCCCCCCCTTATTTTCTATGACCATTTAAAAACAGAATAGTTAAAAATTGTTTGAAAAACCGAAATCTATAATAAAATAATTCCGATTTAACGTGTCTTCGTGATTTCCGTCCTTCGTCTATATTACGCAGTTAACCAGTCAATAATAAATTTATTTTTGAAACCGAGTAGGTAATAATAATAACTGGTTTCTTGTTCATCCGTATTATCAATTTACCCAGAAATCAACAAACAAAGCATTCAACTTTCATGTTATAAATTGTAATACCAAAAATCAAGTATGAGCCCTCAACTCTTTAGGGGATGGAATTTAAAAATTCGGTTTCTATAGGTGCACACGAGCTCCTTTATCCGTGTTGTCGTCCCATTTTCATTTGCTTAAAACAAAAATGGCAATTTTCCATAAATTACCTCTAAACCGATTAAAGAATCGTTTGGTTCTTATATGCTTTAACGGTGCAGTGAGATGTATTTAATTACTTAATTAACAATACATATATCTTAGAAATACAAACTCGGATTATGGATTAAACTTCCTCGATGTACATAGAGACATGTCGGTTACAGTTAATGAAGTTATATAAATGTATTGATATTGAAATAACGACGGTTGGATTTTTACTATGAATATTTCATTTATTATTAGGTACCTTTGTACCTAAGGCTAACGTAAAAGTCTACAAGAATAAATTGTAAAATTATAAAATTCTCATAAAATGAATTAATAGTATTAATAGACATATACAGGATAATTCACTAAACGTGTTCATCCAATTCTTTTGATTACATTTTGCATACATTAAAATTCTGATTTTAGAATTTTTAAGTATAGTTAAAAACCGATATTTTGGAATAATTATATTTTTCACAATATTTAAGGGGTATCTTGTGGCAATCCCAACTTTGGTTTTTCAAATAAGAACCTATAATAAAAATTCCATAAATAGATGGAGTATTACTTAAAATAATTTTTGATTTTCATCAACTCGTTAACGAGATATTTCACTTTTAAGTTTATGTAGAGGGAGAGTAGTGGAGTATTATTTGTGTGGTGGCACGGTACGCGGCGTTTTATTAGTGCTTCACTACTTTTCCTCTACCTATACATAAAAGTTTTTTAACGTCAAAAACGTCCTTAAAATTTAAACACCAAAATGTATATATTTATGGAATTTTTAATATAGGTTCTTATTTGAAAAACACAAAGTTGGTATCACCACAGGATGCTGCTTAAACGTTGTGAAAAATCTAAATAATCGAAAATATCAATTTTAACTAGGTACACTTAAAAATTCCAAATATCAGAATTTGAATACGCTTATTGAATCACTGTGTACATAATACATTTGAATTATTAACACAGCTTTTTTTTTTTTACTTGTAACAAGCATAGTTCACTATAACTGGGGCTCGAATTGTATATAGCACTAAAAATAACTGAAATATAACCTTAAAATCTTAAAATTAGTTATAATATGTAATGAAAACATGAAAAATGGTAAAAAAAAAATTATTTTTTTAAATATATAAATATAACTGATAAGAAGGCATTGATGTAGATTTTTCGATAAATCAATATGCCAGGCTACTTAAAAATAGATTATAATATTATTGTGAAACGAAAATGTAGGTATTTTTCTTATGAATTCACACGGATGACAGATTTTTTCTACTATTTATGAAAATACATCAAATAGCACTAGCTAAAAGTAGTAATATAAAATGTCATATTTGAAGTCTTTGATGCACAAAACAAAATAATGCAAAGTTTACTTTGCTATTTTAATCTGTATGCTATAATAATTAACAAACACTATAAAATACGAAGCCTGACTATAACACTATGAAAATTACATTAACCAGTATATTTAACTTAAAAATGTGTAGTTTAATTGTATTATGAAATTATTTATTATTTGGACCCGCCCTCCTTTTTTGAAAAATCACGATTGTGCGTTTGAAATCGATTTTTGATGATAC